CAGATCTTCTGGAAGTACACGTTCCAGGGTCCCATGCTATGAGACTTTATAATACAGCTGTGTATCATTTAATCCAGCCAAACCAAGTGCCAGATTTTGGCTCACCAGAGGATGTCCAGAAATTAGTTTCATGTGGAATAAGCATGCTGAGTCGTTGAAATCAAGAAAATGGGTCTGCATGCTAAGCCAGGCGCAAAGTCAGATCTTTTTAAGCATGGACACTTTTTAACAAGCTGCTGTTAAGACACTGCAGAATTATTTTTCCAGCTGCCACTATTCACCAACTGGCAATGTTTTTCAAGGAACTTGGAACTCGTTGGGCATCTCCATATAACTCTGGTACCAAGACTACTGAAAGAATTATTGGAGAAATGCAAGGAAAAACGAACGAACTGCAATCTCTTGATTAACAGTCCCAGTTTGAAGATATGCTTGATAAAAGCACCAAAGTACAATAAGCCTTTTCATAGTTTAAGAATCGATTCCACTGCGCATGCGATTTTATCCCGAATTTCTCACCTTCTTTTGTTTAATTAAGAACAAAAGAAGGTTTAGACAAAGGAAGGTGAGAAATTCGGGATAAAATCGCACGCGCAGTGGAATCGATTCTTAAACTTTGAAAACGCTTATTGAACCTCAACGCAAAGCGTCGTCTTTCCGCAGAGGAAACAAACGTAAAATCCACTCACAAACGAAAACGGCTGGCATTTGCAATCAAGAAAAACGATATTAGAGCGGGCTCTTATCCTGAAAAATACTCCGACTTCAAAGCAGCTTAAGTCAAAGCTCACAAAGAAGGGGTGAAAGATGCCCAAGTTCTTTTTGAAAAATATATGCCTCCTGAGCGTGTCAGACATCTAAAAACAACCGACGCTGGGAAAAAGCTTTTTCATACAAAATGCCGGAAGGATGTATTGTGGTCAACGAATGTCATCAAAAGATTTTAACAAACTTAACACTTCATTTGCCAACGTTAATTAAGACGTAGTCTCGTATTACGACCACATAGATGAGATAGAAATACCATATCTCGACAATAAGGAAGAGGAAGTGCAACATGATGATCAAAAGACAACTTTGGAGCTGTAAAGTGAAGAAGAAAATTGTATTGAGAATTTTGAGCATAGTAAAGAGTGGAAATTGAGTAAAGTTGTAAATGGAAAAACCACGTACATTCACATCAAGCAAGCCATCAAACTTCTTTTACCACGTGAGTATATATGTCGCTGTCATTAGGAGAGGCATCTTGCGGCAAAATATCTTCCTGGAACGGAGCCTCTTAATTCAAAACATGACATTGTTAAGTTTTGAAATGTTGCTTTAAAAGTATAGCGCGATAATAGGAATAGATCCCAAATTGCAAGGATTGAGTCTATTGAGTATACAACTGATGACAAAGAAGTCTTAAGTTTTAAGTTGAAAGGAAGAAAGTTCTGTAGTTCGAGTTCCTTGTTCCCTCTACACCAGATTTTGTATCGTTGAATCGTCTTCCARCCATTGGAGGCAGCGGAAACACGATCTGGACATTAAGATTTCTGATAAAGTAAAAAATTAACAGAACCAGG